TAGAATCTTGACATTTTTTTTACGGGGGTCAGTCTTAGGAAATTCGTACTAAAATGTACCAAAATTTTAATACTTTTTGTTGGACAAATGGAATAAGTTAGATTTGTGATACTTAGAATGAGAGTAGCTGATGAAGTGCAGGATATATGTAGCAAAGGGTTTTTTTTTGAAATTTAAACTTTAAGGTTACGAAAAGTTCTAAAATGGTACTTAGCTGCTAAAATGGTACCATTTTTTATTATGGGAATGAATAGATTTAAAAACTTGAAACTTGGTATGACAATCAAGGTTGGAAAGTAAATTTGATATAAGAACGTGGTTTTGGAAAAGTGTACTTACATTTTTTGAAAAGTACTAAATGGTACTTAAGTAAGAACGGTTAGGTTTAGGGTCAACGGATGAAGCTGCAATTTTGAAACTTTGTATTGGGGTTCCTGTTGGTGATAGTTCTTTTTTTTAATTTTATTATTTTTTTTTTTATAAAAATGTGGTTGAAATTTGTGTACTATAAGTGCACGAATAGTACTAAATAGTTCAATATTTGGTACAATTTTGTATTGGCTGAACAGGTAGTGCTTGAAATCGGAAATTTAATTTTGGGTCACTGTATATCCTGAAAATATGAATGTGTTTTCGAAAATGTGTACTATATTTACTATATTTGTACGAAAAGTGCTGAATGGTACTATATTTCGTATTGGGTAAATGAGTAAACAATAAATTCGGATATTTGATATTTAGATTACTGATGGTATCTATGTTTGAGATTTGGCGGTGGTTTGAAAATGCATCCTATATTTGTACGAAAAGTACTAAATGGTTCTTAATTTGGTATTGGGTGAAGAGATAGGCCTGGAATCCTCAAATTAGATATTGAGGTCTCTGTTGGCATATGGAATTGAGATGTTTTCGGAAATGTGTACTAAAATTGTTCGAGAAGTAACTATTTAGTACTTCTAATGTTGGTATTGGCTAAATTAATCGAGCTGAAATCCTAAAATTTGATAAAGAAGTTACTAATGTTGCCTGTGGTAAAGTTATGGAGGTGGTTTTCGAAATGTGTACTATAATTGTTTGAAGAGTACAAAATAGTCCTAATTTTCGTGGTTGTCTAGGATGGAGAGGTGTGTATTGTTTTGGTTATGGTAAATGGTACTAAATTTGGTATTGGGTGAAGGGATAGACCTGAAATTCTGGAATTTGATATTGAGGTCTCTGGTGGTTTCTTCGCTTTTCATATCGAGACTTTGAAATAGTTTTGGTTGCAAAAATTGGATGCGGGTTCATTGTACAATGGCTTTACTAATATCCTCCACGGTAGACGTCAAAATGATTTTTGCTGAAAAGGAAAACATTTCGTATGGGAGCAAGTATAAATGAGCAAGTATGCATCTCTATCTTTATTTTGCTATCTCTTTCATTATTTTGCCAATCTATGACCAAGAACATCTCAGATAAACATTCGTTCGGAGAAGAAAATTTCCTCAACAAATGCTTCACAATAGACTATACGGAATTTTGTCCTTATTTAAAAAACCTTTAATATTAGGCAAAAATTTAAAAATATACTAGTGGCTTAAGATAGAATATTATCCAAGGTGTTGTCAAAGGTAGAAGTATTTTTATTGGCCATCTTCTTTAAATAAACGAACTGCGTATGGTATCCTTTCGATAGAATCTATCGATTCGTGCTTAATTTAAAAAAACCATCGGGGATATTCTTTGTATATATGGCCTTCTTTCCTTTTTCTAGGAGATTTTCTAATGATATTTTTTTAGAGCCTTACATATTCTAATGGACTTTTTAAATCGAAAACATTATTTAGCCTTTTTTCGAATAAATTCTTTAAGTGATCTGCTCCTCGATATAATATCTTGTAGTGGTCTTCAGAAGATCCCGATTTTAAAACTTTATTTTTTTATGTTTTCAAGAAGATTTTCATTTTGTTGTTGCAAATCTGCCGAACATAATATCTTGTTTGACTTGTTTCAATTACATGCCTTTTGATTGAACATGGCTTACAATTATGGTCGGGACTTTCCTTTGACGAGTTTTCAATGAAATGAAAATGAAACCGAAAATACGCATTCGGACAGACCGACAGAAAAAAAGACAAGCGTCACACAATGTGTTGTGTATGGCCATCAAAACAAGTCGTCTACAAAGAAACCAACAGACATACATAAATATATTTATTTGTTTTGCTTGTCCAATAAATATGTCTACAACGATTAGTTAAAGAATTTCACCTAAACACTTTCTCAAAAACAAAAACTAATAACAACAAAAACAACAACTTTAACGAAATTAGCTGGATTGGTAGAAAAATAAGAAAAAAACGACAACCTCCATCCAAAACGTCCAATACTCGTAAATAGTATTACCACAAACGCATAATGATGGTCAGTCGCAACGCCACGCATAGCTAAGCATAGGCGCAACGTAATGCAATGCCGCCACATAACGGTTGGCATGGTGGTGGTGGCGGCGGCGACCAATCTATCAATAGCATGGTCACTCTCCAATGCAACTTTGATTACAACAACACCAATACCACTATTCGAAAGAAAGACAATCAAAAGAAATAATAAAACTTTCTATTCCTACATGACATTAGAAGGCATTTCCGATCTTCTAAGCTTTTCCCAATAATTGAAAAGAATGAAAATTATTATTATTTGGAAAATTTCAAATAGAAAGTATTTGCCATTGAATCCCACAACACATAGCCGTTATGCCCAGTCACCATAATTAGCAAGCATTGGATCTAAGAAGGGTCACAATTTGTTGAGGCCTTAATTGATTTTTCTTTGTTAGCCTCTGAATAGAGGGTGCTAGGCAGTGTGACAGATGTGGGTTTTTGTAATGATGAAAGCTGTCAATCTAGACTTAAAATATGACAATTCATTGGAGCCTTGTCTGTTTGTTTTATTGTGGCTACGTGTGTGTGTGTGTGCCTGTGCTTTAATAAAACTTTCCTTGGCTACGGTCTGTTGGCTAAATCACTAAACTTGAATTTTGCTTTGACCAACAACAACGCCAAGCCAGATTTCTTAATAAAAACAAATGTCATTTAACAAAAAGCAAATCCAATAATAACAATAATAATAACAACAAATGCGAAATACACACAGACGTACAAAGTTATTAACAACATGCAATGAAAGTAAGATTTGTTGCATTTCCAAAGTTTAAAAGCCGGCATGTACTAATAAAACGAGAGGCTTGTTTGAGGTGACTTTTTGGTTTTTGCAGCTTAGCTTCTTGACATTTAATCGCCAGACACATTTAATAATAAAACGAGGTATGCGTAAACATTACGACGATTTGTTGAAATTAAAATGTCAGCGATTGGTGGCAAATAAATTGAGAAATTTGATTAACCCTAGGTTACGTGAGGTATACAAAATGAAGAAAATTTAGGGTTAATTTTTCTTGACCTCCATAATGAAATATGCTACATGAAATTTTTAAATTGGAAACAGTTTAACAATAAACCACCTGTAGCGCCAAATTTTAGGCCAGTAGGTTGGAACATGAATCCAAAATTAAAATTTCAAAATATTTAAAATCCAAAAATTATTTTATATTTTGAAAATGTTAAGCTTAATGAACACAAATCTCAGCTAATCAAAATCGAACCAATAAAAAAAAAAAAAAAAAAAAATGGAGAATGGAAAGTTTATAATTAAATATGGATTGAAATGACCTATTTTCAGTACCGAAAATCCCAAGACATTCTAAATCGCTGTCCCAAATTTCAAAATTATCTTCAAAAAATAATGTTAACCTAACACCTTCCATTTATAAATTACTTCAGTCTGGAACGGCATATGACTTTCTCAAGCAGTTGTTAAGTACTCTAAGGTCCAAAAATAGATATTACAAACTTTGACAAAAGACAACGGCGCCCAACTACGATATAGGACCCTACATTGAACCAAGTTAGAGACAAGATCCATCGAAATGTGTAAAATCGAGGGATACGTTTATATGAGGTATCTACTAAAACAAGGACCTATATGGATAATTTTTATACCCTCCACCCTGGAAAGGAGGGTATATTAGACAGAGACCCCCAACTCCGATACAGCATCATACATTGAAACAGGCTAAACCGAGATCCCTCAAAATGTATAAAATTGAGGGGTACTTTATTATAAGGTATATACTAAAACAAGGACTTTAATGGATTATTTTTCATCCTCCTCCTTGGTATTTTAACTTTATCATTCCGTTTGTAACATCCCTAAATATTCATCGTAAATCCCATGACGTATATATATTCATAATCATTTCCGCCTTAAACGACCGTGGCATCAGAATAAATGCCCGAATATTATCGCGGAAATATTCTGGAGGGTTTATAAAAGCCTTGGGCACGCACACATTTTGGCCGCAGACGTTGGACATTCCAACAGAACTCAGCACCATTGCACTCAGCTCCCGCCACCCAAGAATGGTTACAAAATGAGGTTCCTCGCTTCATTTCCAGTGCACAATGGCCACCAAAATCTCCGGATACCAATCCGTTGGACTATTGTGTCTGAAGTATTTTGGAATGCAAGGTTGGCACTAAAAAATACCAAAGTGTCGATCACCTCAAGCAAGCGCTTCGCCGTGAATGGGCAACGTTCGGGCAGCGTGTTACGGTTTCATTGGCCGTTTGAAGGTTATAATTCGTGCCAAAGGTGACCAATTCGAACTAATATAAACTTATTCTAAGATTTTATGCTATTTCCGAAATTTGCTTTGCTTCCATTCAATAAAATTTAAAATTAAAAAAAAAAAATATAGAAATTATGGCATTTGACTTTGTCGCAGTTTTTTATCTTACCATGTAGTTGTCATTACTGAATGGGGCACATGTGAATGCAAATTTTTGCTAGGGGGCCATAGATCAATACTCTCTTGATGATAATTTATGATTGTATTTCATAATTTTTAAATAAAAAATTAAAGTCATTACTAATTTTTATTTTTTAATGTTTATTTCTAGGTTGGGAACTGCGCGGTCTTTATTGTTACAAATATTTCAATATCAAACATTCATGGGAGAAAAGTGCCGAACTCTGCAGAAGGTAAGTTGGATATACAAAATATATACATTCAAAGACCTAAAATGGTAAAGACTAGACAAAATGCATTCTGAGCAAATGGTTTGTGGCTATACTACCTTGAATAACATTTCATGACAAAGGCATGTTAATATAAAAAAACACAATTATAGGAAAGAATGACAAATAAAAGTTTGGGTAATCCAAAATATAAGTTTCAAAATTCTACTCCATATACCTTCCTAAATAATTGCATACTGCCTTAGCGGTTTAAATTGCTTAACATTGGTAACTATGTTGTTATGATATCATAACAACAGAGGTTTTTTTACAGGGTTGCCATATTTTAAGCCTGTCTTGTCCTATCTTTACACTTCTATGTCTTTGATACATTTTCTGATAGGAAACTACCAGGTAGATAGGATTCAGATTTAGTGCCATGATAGCCCGCTCTCCTACAAATTTGAGACGATTCTGGGTACATTGGAGTCATACTAAATTACAGTAAAATCCCAATTCCAAAGCGAAAACGACATCTTCCAAAGCAAATAACCTCAAAAATCTCCAAAAAAAACTTTAAATAATTCCCTTGACTTCCCCCTCTCTCCTCACACAGACCTTAAGTCTCTAATTGAGAGTGGGGTGGTGATAATTTTGTAATACATTTTTTTACAATTAGTCTTGGGTTTTGCACAAATTGTTTGGGTACAATGAACTGAAGCGTGTGCGTCTGTGTGTCGGTTTGTCTGTTTGTGTGGGGGGCTTTTGGGTAATCATTACCACCGTTTGCTGCTGCATGCTAATGAGATGTATGTACTCACGAACTTGCCTTACGTTTGAGCTTCTTTAGGCTTTCACAGTTTGTTGAAATAAATTTCAAGTGTTTAACGAAAGTGGCTTTCTTTTGGATTTTTTTCATTTTATGTTTAATGTTGTTGTAATGTTCACACCATCGTTAGAAAATTAAAAAAATGTCATGTGTTAAGGTGATAAACGGCTGTCAGCACGGGAAGAAGTGAGTTTAAAGAAAAAAATCCACATTAAAATGCACATAAAACTGCAATTCCACCTAAGACCTTGTTGCTGTCAAGTAACATCAACGGTCAGTCATTAAATATTTAACCTTGTGTTTTAATATTTTATGGTATATGCAGATCAATATTTTTGTTTTTTTTTGCGGTCTTTTTGTTTGGAAACTGGTTCGAATTTTAAATTGCAAATTGTTTATATTGCTTTGCGCGCTCTCTGAGTCATTTCTTACAATCGACTTGACAATGAATTAATTTTAGTTGTTATTCCCAATAAAATCCAGTTGATATCTATATATGACTCATTGTTTTGGAGAAAGCAGGTTTTTTGACACTAACCGATTTCTAAGGAAATACTCATTGATACTCATTCAAAAAAACTTTGTGGTTTTCGAAAGACCAGGTATATCTTCTTACATTTTGGCAAAGAGAAGATAATTTAGAGTTGACTATTCTCACAACCTCTCAAAACCCACACAACATGTCGGATATTATGAGATAAAGGGTATAAAAGCCGAAAAGTCTGGCTATCTGAAATATTTGGTCCTTCCGCATGAAACGTTTCATGGGTTAGCTGATTAAAGAAAACCGATAGACCGAAAAATTGGCTTTTTCGACCTCGGCTTTCGACCTACCTACAGACCTACTGACATTAGATGAATAGACCGAAAAATTGGCTTTTTGGTTAAAGGAAAAATTTGAAAATAATTTAGTCGACTACCTAATAACCCTAAATATTTCCAAAATTTCATAAAACTTCCGATGTTTTTTTGTTGAATTTAAAAAGAAAAAAATTGATTCTTCTTGTGGACTAGTTTTATTTGTTTTTTTTAGTTTTTTTTACCGCTGCCACAGTTTATTGTCTTTTGAGACCTTTTTATGGCGTTTCCATAACTTTGGCCAAAACGTCCGGCCATTGGTCCTCACATTCTTGACTGATATTGTCTTTAGGAGCTGAAAGAGTCTGAGGCTTGTTGACATAAACCCGCGACTTCAAAAAGCCCTATAAAAAGAAGTCTGGAGCGGTCAAATTAGGGGATATTTCTGGCCAATGCAAATCTTCATAAAGGGAGATTAGGCGTGCGGAAAATGCATCCTACAGCATATCGATTGTGGCACGTGGAGTGTGTGCCGTTGCCCCGTCCTGTTGGAACCACATTTTTTCCAATCCCAACTCATCAAGTTGCGGCAAAAAGAAGTCGTTTATCATTGCTTTATACTGCTCACCATTCACAGTAACCATTTGGCCAGCGACGTCTTCGAAGAAAAAAGGTTCGATGGTTCCTCCAGCGAAAACAGCAGAAATAGCATCAAATTTTAGAATAAGTTTAGATGGTCAATTTTGGCACAAATTATGACTTTCAAACGACCAAGGAAACCATCACACGCTGCCCGAATGTTGCTCTGCGGTATTTTGGCCCATTCCCGACGAAGCGCTTGCTTGAGGTGATCGTCACTTTGGTATTTTTTATTCCAGACACAATAGTACAGCGGATTGGTATCCGGAGATTTTGGTAGCCATTGTGCGCTGGAAATGAAGCGAGGAACCATTTTTGGAAGGCGCGCGCTGAGTGCGATGGTGCTGAGTCCTGTTGGAATGTCCAAGGTCTGCGGCCAAAATGTTTGCGTGCCCAAGGCTTTAATACACCCTCCAGAATATTTTCGAGATAATATTCGGCATTTATTCTAACGCCACGGTCAATTAATACGAGCGGAGAGCGATTATCGGCTGTTACCATACCATCATCATAACCGGCGCTTGAGTTCTAGTGGCCATTTTGTTTGTTTACAAACTGCTGGACAACGAATGTTTTCTCATCGGAGAAAACCAAAATCGGCAGTCCACCATTTTCGGCCAAGCGAAGCTACTATGTATTTAGCTCTTTTGGGCCTATTTTCTTTCTGTTGGTGTAAGTTCTTGCACTTTTTGGAATTTCAATGGCTTTACTCCGAGCTCTTTTTTCAATATTTGCCGAATGTAATATTGCGATATGTTCAGCTCACGAGCCATTTTTTGGCCACTTTATAAATAATACTATTTATATCCTACTGTGCAATACCAGGGATGTTTATTTATATATCCCAACACTTTTTGGGCGAATTTTTAAAAGATCGCTTCTTATCTTATACCTTTGCCCCAATCTTCAGCTTTATGATCTGGATGGATTGTAAAAACATCATGGAAAACTTAAAATATATCCATAGAATCTTCTATCGTACCGCTTTACAATGGGTTTCACTTTTCAAAAATTAATGATCTTAGAAATGTATGGCTTGAAAAGAATTTTTCCAACAACTTTCTCCTGCGGCAACGCTATGTGACCTTTCATGCTCATAACAAAAAACCTCAAAAGAAAACATTCTTTGGAAAAAGAATTCTCACATGTTTTATCATTTAAATTAATCATAGGAATCCAAACACAAAGAAACACAATAAAAACTGAATAACTAATAAAAATATTAATCACTCCGTGATAACAAGAAATGGAGATGATTTAACCCATTTACATTTTTTTAAAGGTTCATTAACATAATTTTGTTGAATTCCAATACCTACTCTGAGACCTAAAAATCGAATCATCATTCTCACATGTTGGGTATCATTTAAACGCGGCAAATCATCACATTACTGGAATGAATTATTTAAATTGTGCGGAGCAGAGCAGAGGAGAAGAATGCCATGGAAAGAAAAAAAAAACAACTTTCAGTTTAACTTTTTGTTAACCATCTCCCCCTAGCCTAGCATTTCAAATTTTTTTCAATGCTTCTTTTCATGTTACATGAATAACAATTCTACAATAAAAGAAAGTGTTTTGATTTTTGGTCAACCACCAACCAACCAAGTTAATGCCTGAAAAGAAAATAATGAAAGAAAGAAGAGAGAGAGAGAGAAAAAAACACTAAATTTTTTGAACCTGTTGTTAACCCAAATAACTTGGAGAAAAAATACACAAATGATTCTAACCACAACCATGATGATGATGATGACTTACCAATGTTAATTTTTGTTTTCAAAATCTCTTTGAAGCCCATTCACCCATTTAAAAAGAGAAAGAGAGTGAGAGTATTTTTCCAACAAAATAAATTTAAGCCAATGTAAAGAAAAGCAAATCGCCAAAAGAGCCATTTAAATTTGAAGAGCACAACTGTTAATGTGAGAGCGATAGTGAGAGTATTTAAGCCAAAGGTCATGAGGATGTTGATGATGACGTTTATTTTTTTTTGCTTGCTTGATTATAAATAACTCGCAAACAATCAACATCATCATCACATACATACACACACACATACCCACATCCACACTCAGCCATTGGAATATGAAGACCGTCTGTCATGGAAAGAGGAGGAAATAAGCTGAATGAATGAAGAAGACTTAAATATGCCACTTGATTACTCACAATAGGCCCCAATGTCAGTCAGTACATTCGTATTTTATATACCCGAAACAAACTCACACACATACACATACATACAGACACTCGCCCATCGATACATAAACACTTATGAATTTATATTTTATTTTGTATATATATATGTCATATAGATTATGGATATTGTATTCGATTACAAATGTTTCATTAACAATGAATGAATGATAAAGATGATTTTTTCTATTGTTATTGGTGTACACTCCCCAACGTTTACATAAGGGCTTAAAGTTTTTTTATTTTAAGTTAAGATGGAATGATTGAGTTACCTAATACATGAACAATTGGAAAATCTAGATATTACAACATATCAAGGTTGTTTTTATTCAAAAAATTTAAATGGAGTAGTTGAAGTGTATCAATGCCACATTAAGACTTGCGTAGAAACATTTGTAGACTCTTAGTCTTAAAATAGACATTCATGTATTAAAATGGTCTATCTATCTATCCACAACTGCCTTCGGATCATGAACAGAAAAAAAATTCTCCAGATTTTTTGAGAAAGTCATGTTAGCCCTAAATATTTATAGCCTATTATATATTTATAAAATATATTTCGGTTACAATT